GAATGGAGCAAATGGCCTAATGATTAATAATTTATCAGCATGACTCTTCCACAGAAAGGTGTAGACTACCACTCATCTTTAATATTGGCGGCCTGTCTCTTTTATTCCTCATTGTGTAAGCCTATTCTTTTTTCTATATTTTTGCACTTTAAAATGTCACTGCCTACAAGTTATTCCTGATAATTATGAAAATAACCTAAAAACTCTGTAAGCACATTTAAATCAAGGGTTTTTTTTAAAAAAAAGTATTAGTTAATTATCCTTTCTATGTGTCAGGCACTGTGCTATGTGCTAGAAATACAAAGATAAACTAAGAGAAGTTCCTCCCCAATAGAGTTTGCAGTTTAGTAGGAGAGGCAGATAATAAATAGATTAATGTGATCAGAAAAATTAATAGTTATTGACCAGGGCTCTAGAAAAAGGAGAGTGTGTCTACTACTGAATGGAGTAAGAAGAATATAGAAAAAATTCGAAGAGGAGGTGACCCTTGGACTCATACTTGAAGACATTCCAAGAAGAGCCAAGAGCACACATCAAATATGAAAGCCTGAGAATACTCACCCTTTCATTGTAGCCAAACTTGACTTCTTTCCATTCCTGAAACACTCTAAACTTGTGTCCATCTCAGGGACTTTGCATTTGTTATCTTCTGCCTTAGTGCTTTGATCCCAGATCTCTGCATGGCTGCCTCCCTCTTGTTTCCTAGCTCTTACCTGCCATCTGCCCAAGAGCCCTAACAACAACCCAGTTCCCCATACACTCTCAACCATATCATTTAATTATATTTATGTTACAGTATGTATCACTATTGAAAAGAGTTTATTCATTTCTTTGCTTATATAATTGATGTCCTATCTAGAATCTCAGGTCTATGAGAAGCCAGAAGCTTGTCTGTTTTGTTCACCAGTGTGTCTACTGGGCTGAGAAAAATGCCTGGCGTATTTGCTGAATGCCTAAATAAATTATCATCTGGGCTTAAAATTGAGGATGGACTTAATCTGGGAAAAGACAGAATTTTGGCAGGACAGAGTTGGTTAGAAGGAAAGCAAGACGTCATTTAAAAGACGATTTCAGTAACTCAGCTCTGAGAGATTATGAAATCCTTGACTCAGACAGTGGTCCTGGGAGAGCAGAGTTGTAAGAGGTGAAAAGAAGGTAAAATCTACAAGGTTTTAGGACTATTGTATATTCAGAGTAGGAGCAAGAATCTAGTACTACTGTGTCTAACAACTAGTTTGATTATAGCTACATTCACCAAGGGAGGAAATGCCATTAAAGGAGAAGGAAGGGTATAAAGGGCAAAGGAGTTCATGAGTTTAGGTTTTAAAATGTTGAGTTTAGGATGCCCATGGCACATCCAGGTAGAACTATCTAGTAGAAAGTCAGAAATATAAATATACTTCTGAGGCTTTTTGAAATACTGATATATTTCTTTGACCTAAAACACCTATATAAAGGGGACATCTTGAAAGAACATTAAAGTCCAATGGAAAATTCTCTCTTCTGAAAAATATCCTCTGATCAACCCTGGAGTGAATTGCAAGCACTCTTCCTTGGTGTTCCAAGGAAGTCTGTGCAGTTATAATACCAGGATGTAGTTAGTTGCTTGCTTGGCTGACTCTTCAGTTAAGCCATGAGCTCCACTGCATAGAGCTGTACATAGCAGACCTGAGGGTAACAGTTATGATGATGTCACACCACTCCCCTAATACTAATTTCTCCAATGAGTTCCCACTGCCTAAGAATCATCTCCAAATGCTTTAGCATGGTATCCAAAGCCTTACATAATTTTGTGTTCACATATCTGCCTCAACAATCTCACTCTGAGGTCTCTAACCCCTTGAATAAACTCTCTGCTGAGGCAAACCAGTTATGTACATTTCTGCAGGGTCTGAAAATGGATTTTGTCATGCCCTAGAATTACTCCAACTCAGGGATGATGACTGGCACTAACAAAGCTCACAGGAGACTGATGTCTAAAATCAGAATGCCAATGAAATAATTTACATTGAGAAATTTAATTGCTGAGCCAAACTGATGTTCATGTTTCCCTGACCAGTTCATTCCTCCCAGTAGGCAAACTACATGAAAAACCTAATTATCAAAAGGTTGCTTGATGAGTGTGGAGTCAGAACAAGGGGAATTACATGAATAGAATGTCTAATGGCATTCAGCTGTGCTAGCCTGTGGTCAAGAGAACAGGATCCTTATATAGGATCCTCACATCAGTTTGACTTGGTGCCCTAATCTGGAGAGTCCTTGGATGAACAGAGCTGTTTGATCATCATTTGTACTTCTCTTTATATATGTTAATACATTGAATAAATTTATCATCAAGGCTTGCTGAACTGGAAACCTTACAGGTTTCGTTGTGGTGACTATCTACATCTCTGCTTTAATTACGTGTTAATTTCTAGCTTAACCCATAGAAAGCAGTGCTATTTTCTAAATTCCTAAGTTTGGAGAAAGTGCCCCCCATAAACTGGTAGTCTTCCTTGCTTTGTGGCCCTGCCAGGAGTCAGCTTCTCTGACCCCAGCCTCAGAGAGCCCTTCCTCCCCTGAAATCCTGCAGCAGCCTTCACTGGGGACCACACATTTGGTGCACAGCCCATGCTACTTGTGCTTGCTCTTTAGCTTTTCATACGCTTGTGTGGTCTTCCCTTGGAGGACAGAGGTATGCATTCAATATTTGTGTGAGTAATTAATTATGAGATCTAGATTTTCATTTTTTCTCAGTAAACCCCTGGTTACGGCACCTATTCCTTGGGTGGCTTTCTGTTTGTAAAAAGTATGGCTATTATTATTAATTTTTTTTGAGACAGAGTCTTTCTCTGTTGCCCAGGCTGGAGTGCAGTGGCACAGTCTCAGCTTACTGCAACCTCTAGCTCCTGGGTTCAAGAGATTCTCCTGCCTCAGCCTCCTGAGTAGGTAAGATTAGAGGTGTGCACCAGCACACCTCACTAATTTTAGAATTTTTAATGGAGGTGGGGTTTCGCCATGTTGACTAGGCTGGTTTCAAACTCCTGGCCTCAACTGATCTGCCCACCTTACCCTCCCAAAGTGCTGGATTTACAGGTGTTAACGACCCTGCCTAGCCAGAATATTATTTCTTTCATAGCTATGCTTGAAAATGTCAGCATTCTTTAAAATTGCATCCTTTTTTCAGAAGGGTTTTTCTATTTAAAACAAAATAAAACAAACTTCATTTCTAAAGCCTGAGATGATAATATGTGGCCTTTATTACAAGATGCCAACTGCAGCAATTTGGGCTTTATTTTCCTAGACTTGGACCACAGGTCAAGCAAATGGTCATAACATTTTAATGGCTTTGCCCTGATGTAAAGAGAGAGAGATAAACAGAATAAGCTGAACTTTTTGCATGAGGACCTGTAAATTTTTGACCTCCCTTGACACAGCATACTTAGATCCACATCATATGCAGTGTCATGTCCCCTGTAGACATTTCATAAAAATTAATTGACTTGAAAAATAGTCTGAGGTGTATTTCATGAGACCTAGTAATGCAAATAGCTCAGGGAACTCTGCCGCTACTTTCCTGTTAGCAGAGTATCTTGTTTAGGAATATGAACCCAATATCACACCAATGGCATCTGAAAATGGTATAGGGTTCAGAGAGCATCTTAGCAAGAGCTTTAAATAAAGACTTAGAAGTCCTGAAGTCTAAACCCATAAGTGAATCTTCACTTACTTATGCTGACAGTTTTGTCTCAAGTGTGGCAATGCTATGGCCGTTATGCAGCCACGTTTGAAGTTCATTCTTGTATTTATCCCTGGATTCAATGTCACACTGCTTCCTTCCCATTCTTGTTTTCTTTCCTTCACTCCTTAAACAAATGTGTGTAGTACCCCTTACTCTATCAGAAGAATTACATTAGTTGGTAGTAATATAAAGATGAGATGTTCTTATCCTCAAGGATAAGTGGGCATATCAGTGGGCTTCCTACAAGTCAGTACAGAAGGAGAAACAGTGAATTACATGGTTCTTACCTAACAGAAGAAAGCATACCAATCCTCCATTAAACAAAATTTAATTGGGTCTACATTACAAGATGAATTTCTCATGTAGCATCTTAGCAAAGAGCTTTTATTTCTTAGTTTTCTATGTGTATTCATTTCCAATGTCTAATGTACTACCAAGGATAGTGCTGAAAACCTTTTCACTAATTAATCTTTTTCTGATTCTGTTGAATACAGGGCAGAAATCCTGGAGCCTGAAGATCTACTTTGTGAAAAGAGGCTGGGAAACACCTTAAACTATCAAAATCACCTTCTCTTGGTTATTGGACAATAGCTCTCACACACACAGTTCTTAGTAGATGGGAAGAAATGAGACACTGTGTTCACCTCTCCGATGCATGACCTTCATTCCTTCACCTTTTCTCAAAACAACTACAGCTGGGTGGTGACTAGGCACAAAATGCTGCCCTTGTGAACTGAGAGAAGTAAACAGAACACAGAGGACTGACAAGCAGAAAATGCTGTATGAGTCTGTCTGAATCTCCAATAACAATTTGGATTTCTCAGGAGGGCCGCATGATGTAAGCACAAGGTGTTATTAAAGCCAGTCCTGCTGCTAGAGGCCATATGGAGAATTGGGGGCTTTTTACTTGCTCCTTAAACACCCCAATTATTTTCCCAGTAAGGACAGTGTGGAATCCCGCTGCCTGAAAAAGTTAGAAAAGAGCCAACTATGTCTTCCTGTAGTTATGCTCCCATGGTTTTACAATGCTTTCCTCTGTTCTTGGATTGAAGGCAGAGGAAGGTCTGCCCACAGAATGACCAGCTCACCTTTGAAGGTCTTTGTGGTGCCAGAGGCATCACAAAAGGCCCCGGGTAAAAATAAATGACTTTCCTCACGGTGATTATCACAGTCATTTAGACTTTACCTGAACTACCCGGTTCCATTATTAAATTCTAAATAATGGAAGACAGGAGATCTCACCTCTTTTGCTACACCTAAAACCAGCCAGGCCTAATTCTGTTTCTTATCTATGGCCTAGAAAGGCACACCTGTAATCAGTATTTCCTCTTTCTAAATGTGTCAGTCTATTTATTATAATTGTTATTACTGTTGAATCTGATTTAAACCTAAAGTTCCCTTGAGGCCAGTAGGCTACATTTGAAGCTTACAAATAAGTTATTGTAAAATGGATGTAATTATAGTAAAAGTAACCACCACATTGAATGAGGCTGTTAGTATACTAGACAACAAAATGTATTCATGGTGTTACCATGGAGAGAATGGAAACATTTTGGACTCATTTTAAAGAAGGCACCTTTATTCTAAGTGTGCCTTTAAATGAGTAACTTGAAACAAATGACTTGGCTTTTTACAAAATTAGAACAAACTGAATATACATCTCTTTAAAGCTGGGCTATTACAGGGACATAACAGTAAATGCTAATGTACATACTGATGGTTGGCACATGCAAATGAGCATGCTGATCACTAGTTCACATCACGATTCATTATGGCACACAACTGCCAGAAATCAAAGTTAAGCAAAAAGCAGCTACCAACTGCATAGTCTTCCCTCCTTATGGAGCCATTTTGCCCCACAATCCCCTTTGTGATTAGCAAAAAGCTTGGAAATAGAGGCTAAAATAAACAATAAGAGGACTAATGAATTACTGGCTAATTTTAAAATGGCACAGAACCTTGGAGAGGGGAGGAAGCACCAGCTGAGATGAGTACATATTTCCCTAGAGCATTTCACATGATGCATTGGTGAATGACTGCCTCTGAGAAAGCACTCTGATCTTGGAAGCTGAGCGACACAAATACTTGGCGTCGAAGAAGTTGGCATGGCAACCCTGCATTTGCAATGGTGAGTTCCAGAGTAAACAGGTGCATAAAGCAACTACTTGAATGAGTTTGCTTCTCTACAAAGTGGTTAAATCTCATAAAGGATTTTTTTGTCTTCTCTTTTTGAAAAGTACAAACAGTCAGTCTAATAATGTAAGGCAGTTCATTTGCTGAATGGGGGAAGATATTCATGACTCATGGAAAGATTTATTCTCTGTACTTTCCCTGTGTAAATAAGGTGAGATTTAGGCAGAAATAAGTCATTCCCCACTCACAGCAGACACAATTCTGCATTGACTGGAAAACAGTACCTACCCCATCCCCACAAACCTTTCTGTATATGTTTAAAAAAGCATATTCCCAACAAAGGAATTGCTTACCTGTTGGCAACAGGCCCCTTGAAATCTGGGTCGTATGTCCTTGAATCACCTGCATTTAAAACAAAGATATTTTAAGCATATAAGCCAGCAAAAAAAAATATAAAATATTAATAACAAATATCTACATATTGGTTAGTTCACTGCTCAGTGCAGTGATGAATTCAAACTTTGGTTCGATGAAATATTAAGTATGTCTTGGTTAGGACAGTTGTCAATCCTTTCTCCTCTTTCCAGCTTAGAGGAAGGCCTGGGAAGAATGGTTAAGGAACATGCTCCATACACCAGTGAATGCATCCTCCCACCGTACTGATCATCAACGTTAACAATTGTAGCCAGGGTAGTAAAACTTGAAGGCCTTTTGGACTGCCAAACCATTTTACCATCAGCCATCACCAAGTTTGCTGAGGACTTGTGTGGTGCACACTTTAATATGAGAGACCTGCTCATCCCGCTTCACTTATTCCTCTCAGTAGACTAGGCTTTCCTTCGAGAAGTTCAAATAGTAGTTACTGTTGGTCTCTATCATGTTGGCTGTATGGTATATAAAAATTAATGCTCTATTACAGAAACATTTTTATTGCATTTTTGTCAGCGTACTGGCAGACTTTATGCCATCCGGTAAGGCACTCTGTTGCATTAAGACTGTGATCTATTGCCCTTTTCTATAAACAGTAAAAGTACACATGGAATGGCTTTTTTTCTCCCTACATGTACTGTGTGGGCAGACCCAGTAACAAGTTATGTAAAGTCATTCCTGGCCAAGGGTCTGCATTTTGCAATCCCCAACTTCTTGACTCTTCCCCTACAACCTAAGCATGCCTATTTGTTCCTCTAGGGATTCGTCCTAGAGAAAAAATTTTCCTGTTTGAGACAGTCTATATGTACTCCAGTGCCAAGTTATCTATAACACTGTCAGCTTCTCTTTTGGACAGCTTGTCTGCTTCTGTCTCACTGCAACAGATAATATGAGAAGTGCTTAAGTCCCATTTATCTGAGAACTGACCGTTCCCCTGTCCCCAAGTCCACAAGAGTGGGTTTCTTTTTTTTTTGAGATGGAGTTTCGCTCTTGTTACCCAGGCTGGAGTTCAATGGCACGATCTCGGCTCACTGCAACCTCCGCCTCCTGGGTTCAGGCAATTCTCCTGCCTCAGCCTCCTGAGTAGCTGGGATTACAGGCACGTGCCACCATGCCCAGCTAATTTTTTGTATTTTTAGTAGAGACGGGGTTTCACCATGTTGACCAGAATGGTCTCGATCTCTTGACCTTGTGATCCACCCACCTCGGCCTCCCAAAGTGCTGGGATTACAGGCTTGAGCCACCGTGCCCGGCCAAGAGTGGGTTTCTAGTAACCACATTTCTTCTTTGTGCCTGTTTTCTGGCCATGGCCACCTGCCTCTGGTTTAGACATTGGTTCCAAGCTGGGCAAGTCAGATTCTCAATCCCAGAAATTTAGAATTAGAACGGACAATGAGTTATTCTCAGTTGAAGATTGGAACTGTAAATTATCAACCTTGAAACAAGAGAAGCAGAGAAATCTGGCTTTCAGAAAGAAGTTACTGAAGTAAATGTTCAAAGAGAAGCAGAGGTGATAGTCCTAATTGCCTTTAACCTGGGGCCTAGTTCCTTCCGGAAGCCCATGGTTGAATTTCATGAAATACTTTTAGTCTTAAACTGTTTTCCCTTTTCTCACTTTTAACTAGTTCAAGTCAGTTACATGTAACAAAAGAGCCAAAGAGTCTTATTAATAATTCACTCTCTCAGCTTACATTTCAACAATTTAATGTTTTTTGGATCCTTGCTATGAACAGGTAGTATCAGGATATGAAGAAGAATTTTTTAGACTAAGTCTGCCTTTATGAATCTCAGACTTAAATAAGAAATATAAGCTCTACAGGGCTGGGCATGGTGGTTCACACCTATGATCCTAGCACTTTGAAAAGTCAAGGCTGGTGGACTGCTTGAGGCCAGGAGTTCCAGACCAGCCCGAGCAACATGGCAAAACCTCAAAGTAGCTTGACGTGATGTCTCACACCAGTAGTCCCAGCTACTCCAGAGACTGAGGCACGAGAATCTCTTGAACCCAGAGGATGGGGATTCCAGTGGGCAGAGAGTGACAATGTACTCCAGCTTAGGTGGCAGAGCAAGATGGAAGGGAAAGGAAGGGAAAGGAAGGGAAGGGAAGGGAGGGGAGGAGAGGGGAAGGGAGGGGAGGGGAGGAGGGATGTGGGAAGGGGGAGGGGAAGCAGGAGGGAAGAGGAGGGGAAGGGGGAGGGGAGAGAAGGGGAAGAGGGGGGGAGGGGAGAGAAGGGGAAGAGGGAGGGGAGAGGAGGGGAGGGGGAGGGGAGAGAAGGGGAGGGGGAGGGGAGAGAGAAGGAGGGGAGGGAAGGGAGAAAAAAGAAAGAAAAAAGGAGAAAAGGAGAAAGAAAGAAAAGAAAGAAAGGAAGGGAGAAAAAGAAAGGAAAGAGAGAGAGGAAAGGAATGAGAAAGAAAGGGAAAGGAAGAAAGGAGGGAGGGAGGGAGGAAGGGAAGGATGGAGGGAAAGGAAGGAGGGAGGAAGGGAGGGAAACATAAGCTGGAAACATCATTGCAACACTGTGTGCTAAGAACTGTGATAGAGAATGCTGTGGGGCACAGAGAGGGTCATGAATAAAAAGGCTTCACAAGCTCCTAACACTCAACTTTGGCTCAGCTTTCTGTTCACACTCTCACCCTGTGCTCTTTGACTGGAATCTTTCACTCTGATTTTGAACTTTAATGTTTGCAGAACTCCTGGTTCTAGATTTTAGTTCCCAAATCTGTCTGAATAACTGAAATAGCTGAAAAACAATCCCCCACATCAAATAATCCAATTCTATAGATCTGAGGAATGAGCCTAAGAATCCATATTATTATTATTATTATTATTATTATTATTATTATTATTTTTGAGACGGAGTCTTGCTCTATTGTCCAGGCTGGATTGCAGTGGCATGATCTCAGCTCACTGCAACCTCCGCCTTCCAGGTTCAAGGGATTCTCCTGCCTCAGCCTCTGGAGTAGCTGGGATTACAGGGGTGTGCCACCATGCCTGGCTAAGTTTATGTATTTTAGTAGAGACAGGGTTTGACCATTTTGGCCAGGCTGATCTTGAGTTCCTGACTTCATGTGATCCGCCCACTTAGGCCTCCCAAAGTGCTGGGATTAGAGGCGTGAGCCCCGCACCCAGCAGAGAATCTGTATTTTTAAATGACCCACTAAATGACTCTGATGTCCAGGCAGATTTGGGAACCATGAAGCTACTTGATTTTAGTCTCAATTTTATAAGTACGTCTCAGTTTATACACTGTCCTTATGTCTAGCTCTACCTACAGAACAACCTAATGGAGAAAATGAGGAGAAAAGCAGGTCATCGTGATGTGTATGAGTTTTGGAAAACACTACCATTAGATACGAGAAGCCAGTTAAAGAGTTTTAGGAAGAGACGCAGACATTCAAGAAAGTCAAACAATTTCAAGAAAAAGGAAAGATGGTAAGTTCTATAAAATTTATGCTTATTTGTACCAGGGACTACTTTAAATGCTTTACACATAGGTCTGCCATCTTGCACAATTCCACATAGAATGCAATGTGAATTGTATTTTCTGAGCAGTGCAATGCAATTGCCCTAGTATATTCATTATGTCATTTAATGTTTCTAAAAGTTCATGCCATTTCAATGCAATAAAATATGCCATTATTATTATCCCATTTTATAAACGAGGAAGCTGAGGTACAGAAGGGAGTGAAAATTTTTCCTAGTCCACTCGGCTAACAAGAGGCAGAGCTGGCATTGGAAGGCGGACCGTCCAACTCCAAAGCTGGTGTTGAACCATTTAGCAGTAAGTTGCTCAAAGCTCATCTTAAAGTAATTCCACAGATGAGTAAGGAGAAGACAGATTTAAAGGGTTAACAACATCTATTGATTTTGTAATTATTTGCTATTTACATTAAAGGTGGGCAAACCCAGCTTCAAAGTATTTAGGCTGGTTTCCAATTTGGCTGTGATTCCTACCTCACCAAGTGACAAAGTGGATTGCAGGGTAAATGAAATGCCATTGTCGAATCTGCCTGAAAAGCTGACACTTTCTGATTGTGAATCCTGGCTGCTTTATGTTTCAGTTGAAAATACACCCAACCCACAGTCAGATGATAAGACTGAGCTGATTCTGTATAGTAATGAGAGCTGGAAAGTGATTACTTCACCCTGCCCCCATGTGCTGGTAGAATTTGTATTGTCATGCAAATTTTTTATATCCTGCAAATCAATAGAGGGCAGTGCTTTTACAGGGGCCCTCACTCACTCTAATTACATCTCTGGAATAAATAGACTGAGGGGCCAGCTAAATAAAAAGAGCCACAGTGGTTTGCTGTCATGTGGCTCAGTTCTTTGGATGCAATTCATATTTCTCACTTAAAGAAAAAAACACTAAAATTACATAATATTTTATAAGCTTCTTAAGTTCATTTGACTTTCTGATCACCAAATGTATTGTCTTACAACAGCAAATTTAGAATCACTGAAAAACATTTATAAAGATAGCTACACATTTGCTGTTGTAGTTAACAGTTGGTATTGCAGCCATACAATGCAATTTTCAAACGAATAATAATTCATGAAGATTAAGGAAAATAGTTCAGGTAATTAATTCAATTCATAGGTACAGATTTCACATGGCTCCATTGAAAGCAAATGGCAAGATAAAGCAGCCAGTCATGCTTAGAAAGACTCTTTCTTTAAAAGCAGTCTCTTTCTCAAAGAAAATGACAATATAATTACCATTGATAAGCTATAAAAAGTAAAAATCCAAAACATTTCATTTTATTCCTGCAGGAATATTCTCCTCTGAGAATCTAATATTAATTCAGAGAGCAAAAAAGAAACTAAGGAGGGATGAATACATGTTCTAGGATTTAAAAGAGACCTACTATGAGCAAGCAAGTCAGATAACTTCAAACAAGGAAAAAATGGAGCAGTACAAAATAAAGGCTTTAATATACAACAATAGCCAGCAGAGAATTGTGAATAATGAAGTATGTGTTTTATTTATTTTTAAAATATGCTTTATAATATGTCTATAATATGTCAATAAAAGAGGGCCAGCCATTTCATTCGAAGAAAGGGTTCTGTTTTCCTCTAAGTCTCAGCAAAGAATAAGAAATCATGTTCTTGGCCATTTCTTACAGGATGATGTTCCCACTTCTTAGCCCAGCACACATGGCTTTTTATGATATGGCTTATCTCACAAGCCTTATTTCTTATAATGCCCCTCTTTGAACTTAATCTCATGCAATTCTGTACTATTTATAGTTCCTCCCTTTTCATATTCTGTTCCCTCTGACCAATGTGACTTTCTCTTCCTTAGTCCCTTGGTGATGGCTAAAGGAGGCCTACACTTCCCCTCACAAACTTCCCACTGATTCTCAAGAAGGACAAGGACAAAGACATTCTACTGGCCACTGTGCCAAAGTGGGCCAAGGTGAGTTCCACCCACTTTGACAGGATATCAATCCTAAGAACTTTCAAAGAATCCCATTCCAAAGCAGCTAATTCTATATTAATCTCAGAGACATAGTACTTGCATCTACATTGTTGGGTTTAGGACACTATATTACATGTTATCTGTTTACATGTCGTGGTAGATAGAATAATGGCCTCCCAAAGATGTTCACATCCTCATCCCTGGACCCTGTGAATATGTTACCTAATATAAGGAAAGAGATTTTACAGATGTGAATAAATAAGGACCATGAGATGGTGAGATTAGCCTGGATTATCTGGGTGAGCCCAATGTGATCACAAGGATACTTATATGGAGAAGGGGGAGGCAGATTAGTCAAAGAAGGAAACGTGACAAAGAAACAAGATTGGAATGATGCAACGTGAGAAAAACTCAACCGGCTATTTCCGGCTTTAAAGATGCAAAAGAGTCATGAGCCAAGGAATATAGAAGCTTCTAGAACCTGGAAAAAGTAAGAAAATCGATCTCCCCTGGGCTTCCTGCTAATGGCTTATTGCATCTCATTGAGGAGTATTTTGGACTTAACCTCTAGAAATGTAAGATAATAAATTTGCATTTTTCTAAGTCACAAGTTTTTGGTAATTCATTACCATAGCAATATGAAGCTAACACACATGATCATTTAGCCTACTGGATCACTACATAGTTTCTCTAGGGCAGAAATGAGATCTTGGTTATTTCTCTGTTCCTGTTACCTGTATCAGTGCCTGGTGTGTACATAGCAGGCATTCAATAAATATTTACAGAATAAGTTTTGAAAGAATATCAATGTAATTTGATACCTTGTATTTTTAATTTAGATTATGAAAATACAACTAGAGGATCGATCTTGGCAGTTACCAGCAAATCACTTTAGATAAATTTCAACTTAGATTAAAGGAAGTTAATAGACTCCGAGAAGTGCACTGATGTGAAAAATTACTCCCCTTATCACCAACACTAATTCAGTATCCAATTGTAATGTCAAGGCCAGTAGAAGCTAATAAAGGAAGGAAGGGAGGAAGCAACCCATATTGGTGAATAAAAATTGGGTATCAAATTAACCGGGATAAAATGCCATCTCTACCATCTATAAGCAGTATGATCTTGGGAGAATTACTTTTTGCCCGTCTAGCCTTCCATTTTGTCATCCATAAAATGATAGATAGTGGAGAGAAAAAAAGTTGGGAAACAATTTCTGCCTTCAGAGGAGACCAACTAACATTGGAAACTGTAAAATGTAAATTACCTACATAACAAAGTAGATCGGTGTAGAATCAGTACAAACCAACTTGTTGAACTGGCACATTGGCTATAAATAATACCAATAATTCTAGAAAGATTTCAGTGACTAAGCTGGGTGTGATGGTTATGGAATAACTTAGAATGAGAGAAATTTTAGGCATGCTTAGAGGAAAGAATGTGTCATGTGTGAAAGCCAGACAACAGCACAGCCTTAGCTCTAACAAAGAGCTATGCCTGAGGAACAAGACATGACAGCAGTTAGAGGAATTAAGCACATTATCAGGAGTTGGAGGAGGACTTACACACCCCTTGCTAAGTCTTCTGAATAAGCAACATAATTGTTACATGTTTATGTATTTGATGCAGAGGAAATAAGGAAGTTAAAGCAGATGAATCAATCAGGAAATAGCTTTTGTATTTCAGACCTAAGATGGTAGATGCCTGACTGAGGCTGTGGCTGTGACAGGATGAGGTAATTCAGGAAGCATTACAGAGGAATACATTTGTTGGGGGTGAAAGAAAGGGCATGGTACCCTGCTTCATCACCTAATGACGATAATGCCTCATGCAAAAAATGATGAGCATTCCAGAAACTCATCTCAGGCAGAAACATGACCCCACATTGGACATGGCAAGATTAATGGAAATGCAAATGAGAGTCCTTCAGCACTGATTTCAAACCAAACAATACAGTGGTATCATGACCTATGATGTTGTTTTTCTCCTATTCTGAGTAACTTCCTAAACATATGAGATGATAAATCACCTTATATTACAGGAAGAATGTCAAATCTCCTGTTTAAGACACGTTTTCCTAATCACTAGGATGGTTTTTAAGTAGTTTGCATCATCATTTGAAATACTTTGCTCAATATGAATACAAATCATATACAATTCAGTTATAACTTTAGAAGTAATAACTAAAAGAAGCATCTCCATCTCCATTGAGCAGGTAAAAGAAAAAATATATATAAAGCACTCAGGCTGCTTCTTAACAGACTGATTTTATAGGCAGTGCTGAAGGATGCACATTTAGGGGGCATTTGAAATGCACTTTTGAAAAAAGGATTTTCTTGATTAGTGTGACAAAGCAGTGAACTTGTGATATAGACCAGCTATGAATTATTGGATAATCACACATCTTCTCAGAATAAATAAATTCTGAATCAATATTGATTTAAAAAGAAAGTCTGGAAGCAAACAAGAACATGAATTGAGTTTGAAGGTTATCAGCTTAGGTTTTCTAACATTTCTTTCTAGCTATATTTGTATTTTATTGCTTAATATCAGTCACCACCCCCCCCAAAAAAAAGACCCATGACACACTTTAATTATATTGAAACAACTCCCTATTTTCCTCTAGTTTCAAAGGTTATGCAATTCATTATCATGCCAGGCCTTTTCCTCCTACCTCCTAAAAAAATAACAATTAAAGATGGAAAACAAACAGCATATGCATTCACCCTAAATATAAAATAAGTGACTTCACCTTGCCTATCTGAGTGCAGAGCTCAGGCAGCAGCACAGTAAATGAATAAAGATTGGGGGAAATGATAATTTTCATCATTAAATAAATATAAAAATTAAGTTCTATAGAGAAGGGGAAAATTGTCTTCAAAGTTATAGTTAAGTAAAAGACATTCTGTTAAACTTAAGAATAAATGCTACTAAAGAAAAATAGCAAGAGTTTGTCAGTTTATCACAAGTGCATAAAGCAGTTTGGTAGCTAGAGATAACATCTATCCTGCTTCCTCATATCACCCACAGGTTATTGATGAGAATAAAATTAAACTGCTTATCAACTCTGACTTTTGTCACAACTCAAGAAGACAGACATTAAAAATCACTGGAAAAACATCCCTATTCCCGGTCCTAAGTGTAGGAAAGAAAACATGTTTTAGCATACAGTTTCTACCCACAATACATCATGATCTAACAAATAAAAACCACAGGTGGAGTATTCTATTAGAATCTCTGTCACATGGATGCTTCTACTTACAGGGTAATCCAGGAAAAATGGTGGTAAACTATGATCTCTCACCAATGGGTAAGGTCAGTCACTTAGAACTATAAACAGGAGAAACAGCAGACAACAGGGATACATACAACCTACTGTATTATCCACCATAAGCTGTTACTGAGAGAGAGAGAGAGAGAGAGAGAGAGAGAGAGAGAAAGAGATCTCCTAGGACTAAGGGAGTGGTGGTGTGTGTGTGTGTTACTGATTAAGATAATCATGAGAAATAGATGCCTAGGGCTGATCTCACCCTCTTTTGGAGTCCTATCTCCCTGGCTAAAGTCAAAAGATACGATAGCCTGGATTTTATATACTCATAAATTCTGTGGACCATATGTGAGGCAGAAATGTCAATGAATTTTTTTTCTTACAAATGGATTTTTCATAAAGAGACTGAACATATTGTGAACTAATTGTCAAAAAAAAAACCTTGGGATTATTTATCTTATATTCTGCATATATTTGGAAGAGAGGGTAAAAAACTAGAGAAGGAAAATCGAGCATTTAAGAAAAGGGATTTGCCTCATATTCTTATACGATGTTGACAATACAAAATTGTGAAGCTAAATCTGCAAGGAGAAACTATACCTGCTAGCTTTAATTCCAAAAGGATTGAAGGTCCCCACTGTAGGGAATCAGCCCCACCCATGGGTATGTGTACCTGGAGTTTGGTGGCAGCAAAGGAATGAGAAAAAGACAGATTGAGAACGCAAAAAATGGGACTGGGGGCCATCCCTTGTACTGGAGGCAGTGAAGGCCCTGTGGTGCCACTCTTTGCATTCTTAATCTGTCTTTTTTACATTCTGGCACACCCAACGTGTGGGGCTGCCTAAACTGTCCCCCCTCCACTCTCTTCTCTCTCTCTGTCAAAGCAGATAAAAATTTTAGATATAAAGCTTAAAGAATATCTTTAAAATGCTATAAAATTGACAAAATATTGGGAAAACATCAGGCCAAAATCCAGGAAAAGGGAGAACCCAGAGAAAGAAAGACACTACTAAAGCCATTATAGCCTTAAATATATTTATCAGCTCAGCAAATTCCATGAGTAAGGGTGGGAAGAAGATATAACTCAGAGGCTGTCCAAGATGGGGACTCAAATAGATTGCCCCATCATACAGTTGGAACTTCAGAGAGCTAGTCCTTCAGATTAAATCCACCATATGCTTAAGAATGATGGCACTAAGCAAAAAGATAAGGAAAACACCTCATTTGAATTTGCAATGTATGTGAAGTAATCTAAACTGAATTTGATCTGCAGGTGCTCCTATAAAACTGACAGATGGATAACAACAGAAGACCTCTGTTAAAATGTACCTTTATCCTATGTGTTCTCATAAATAGTTTTCCTAAGAAAATATACCACTCACACACAAAAAAAAGCTGCATCAGGAAACAAGACACCAAGAAAGAACTAGATCATTAGCAAACAGAAATATATATACAAAGTCTTCAGATACTTGAATTATTAGTCCCGGGTTATAAAACAACTATGTTTACTGTTTCTTAGAAATAAAAGATGAACTTGGAGATAAATATGAAGAACTATAAAAAGTTACCTAGTAGATTTGAAAATGAAGCAAATTGAATCTAGAAAAAAAAGCCATAACAAATGAAAAACTAAGTAGATAAATTTAACATCAGATTAGACACAACTGAAGAAACAATTGGCAAACTAGAAAGTAAATAAACATAAATTATTCAGAATATAGCACAGAGAAATAAAGAGATGAAAAATATTCAAAAATAATTGCTGGGCTGGGTACAGTGGCTCATGCCTGTAATCTCAGCACTTTGGGAGGACGAGGTGGGTGGATCACCAGACATCAGAGTTCTTAACATGGTGAAAGCTCATCTCTACTTAAAATATACAAAAAATTAGCCAGTGTGGTGGTACACACCTGTAGTCCCAGCTACTTGGGAGTCTGAGGCAGGAGGATCACTTGAACCCAGGTGGTGGAGGTTACAGTAAGCTGAGATTGTGCCACTGTATTCCATCCTGAGCAACAGAGTGAGACTCCATTTCAAAAACAAACAAAAGAAAGAATAGTTGCTACATTGAGGATAGAATGTGAGGATCAAATGAGAAGTTCTAACAGATATCAAATCAGAGTTCTAGAAAGAGAGAATAGAAATATAGAGATGATGGAGAGAGGCAATGAAAGAAAATAGCCACCAACATAGGATAATATATCTGGATCAATATGTTCAAAAGAAAGGGTGAAATAAAGATACTTTCAGACAAACAAGAGAGTTTGACCCCAGAAGGCCCTCAATAA